GCTGTATGTGGATTATCCCGGAGATTAGCATAAGTAGCGCATTGCATATCACCCAAAGCCACCATCACTGGTGTCTTCGTCTTAATTCCTAACCAATTAAACTGAGTCTCGCCGGCAATGGATCCACATTTCTTCACAATAGGCAGCAAATGGATCGGAAAATCATGGCTTTTGAGGCTTGCAATGAAATGACAACAAAAGTTACATTAATTGAATGGAAATGGTTTAGTGCTAATAAAAAAGCAATAAAAAAACACAAATTCAGAGCCAATGCTAACATGTATTCATTCCATGAGTGGCCAATTGGGTCAAAATATCCCCAACTCATGGCGTTTTGAGAGCTCATTAGGGGTCGTTTGAGGTGACATAAAACGGCCACAACATAGTCCATAATAGTTGCACTGCTATTAAATTGGTTCAACAATTGGTTTGAATGTCTCTGTAACCAGAATATAGTGGCGCACCCGAAGCCACTGCTTATACACGTGTTGTACGAGTGAGGAGTGGGCAGTGAGGCTATGAACTGATCGGTGCATCGGCTGTCCTGCCAGTTGTATAAATCACTTACAGATGTTTGGTTTACTTTGAATTCTTCAGTTTTAGGCAAATATTCATAGTATGACTGATTGTCCCACAGAACGCATCCATGCATTTGTCCGCAAATCGATATTAGTTTGACATTTGCTCGCAATTGTGCGTCAAATAGCGATAATGTCTTTTGGATACTTTCCACAATTGTTCCCACATCTTGTTGACAATAGTTTGGAAAGTTTTTCAGTTTCTCATTCATTTGAAAATTATACTTATTTTTATGAGTGGCTATTATTTTCTGGCTATTCGTATCGAGTAAACTAATTTTAACACTAGTGCTCCCAATATCAATGCCAGCAATTAATGACATTTTGTGATTATTTTGTTTTGAAATTCAAACAAACATCAATTGTAATACTGTATTATATTTCAAAACAATTTCTATACTTTTTTAAGTAGTTTAACAATTAAATAATATATAAAATTTCAAAATATCATAACAAATCACGAGAATATTTTGTGGTTGAGTCCTGGTTTGGACATAAAACTCAAATATAAGGGCAACTGTTATGGAAAGTTTGATTTAATAACTACTTGAGGACTGCTATTGACGACATATCTTCCAATAGATTGCGATTTGGTTTTCCGTCTCCTCTCGTCTATTGAAGGCTAACCACTCTTTTAACTGACATTTATTGATATTTTTCACTTATATTAATATAAACACACAAATAAAAGTTCAATTACTTATAGCGAGGGGCAACTATTTTTAATAATACAATTTATACAGTATATGAAAGTTTATATATTTCAGCCAATTATTTTACAAATTAAATGAAAAAATTTATACTTAAACTAAACATAATATTAAATTTATAATATGGTTGTCATTAATGAATAATTTATGTACTGTATCTCTGCCAATTAATTAAACTTATATTACTTAATAATTATTCATTATACTCTGTATATAATAGCAGTTTTATAATTTTACTAAATGTATTTAAATATAAATATTACTTTCAAGATTGTTTAATTTCAAAATTTTATACAATTGATAGCAAAAATAATTTAATGTTTATATTATGTAATGCCAGATATTGAGACACTATTTTATAGTAAAGAAAATTATATATTTTATTCACAAAATTTAATTTTAGCAACCATTTGACACCCTTATCAATAAAGCGTAACCTTTCAGAAATTACAGAATTTTGTTTAGTTAATATTTTTGATTAAGTTATAAAATACGATTTAATTATTAAATTCATTTTAAGATAATTTGTAAAATATTTAAAATGATTTTAAATTATGAATTTGAATACGAGTATTTGCTTATGAAATATATTTTAACCGCTGGTAAGTCTAAGAATATTATACCAAATTATATAAATAACTGTCACATTATTTTTATAACTTATACAAATATTTTGCTTAATAGTTAAATGTTTTGATTAAGTGATTGAAACCATCACATGCTTTACATTTAGTATACATTTATCAAAAAGACGTCAATTAAATAAAAAATATATTAAAAATCAAATCTTAAGATAAGCTCTTATGTCATACTAATGTCAATGATATGAAAAGCTCATTTAACAAGGATAGGGTTAGCCATCGGAAGTACTCATAATTTTTCTTTCAAATGATACCTACTTTTGTAATTAATGACAATAACATGGAAAATTTAAAATAAATTTACTTTATTATCAAACTTAATTTGATATGAACATTATTTTAAGATACAGACTTGTTGTGAGAAAAATACTAATACCATACACTTGGCACACTTTTTATGTTTATCAACTCTTTGCCTATTTTACAGATTGTTTTTTCTTTTAAAATAAACAGCTTTTATATTAAAACAAATTGAGAAATCAAAGTTTCATCGTATGTATTGTGAGTCATATCTTCCTAACCATAACTACAAGAATTGATTCAATGCTTCAGTTAATTTACTACTCAGAGAAAAAATTAGGGATTTTAAGGCCAGTGTTTTAATGAATGGGATTTTATATTTTATAAGTTTAGTGTAAATTATTTTTAAAAAGCAATCAATTCAATGATAGCGTTATCACCAGAATAAACTGAATGCTTATCTGAAAATATAGTTTCCGTTTAGTGTTTGTCATAACATTTGGACTTTTGTTTTGAAACTTTAAAATTATCTATTTATTGTTTTGTCAATTTTATAAAGAAAATTATTATTCAAATTTTGTTTTCACTACTTCCGATATCTTAATCATTTTTACAATATTATATGAAAAACACTTTTGTTTTATGATCCAATTAAGCATAACAAATCAGATTAAAATATATCTGGTACTTTATAATATGGTATCAATATTATACAAATATCGCAATTAATTTTTAAAATACGGATACTATCATATAAGTTAGTTACTAATATACCGTACTTACATTGTTTTAATGCTTTTTCTTTTGCATTTTAATGTAAATTTAAATTTGCGTTTATTCGTAACTTACTTAATTATATATTTGATGATTATTACTTACAATTAAGATTTATCATCATTTCTAATAATTATATTAAGTTAATTTTTTGGTTTTATTAAATTTGAGACATTTTATTTGATATATTTTAATACTAAAAATAAAAATAATTCATATTAAATCAATTAAATAAAAATTTAAGTCAACATTTACGAATTAAATATTTATACAAATGATATTAATAGTTATAAGTTAGATTTTAACTTTTTGTCATTTATTAAACTAAATAAAATACAAAGCTTACATTACTATCCTTCAAATACAAGAGTATCTGCGTTTAATAATATAAACAGTATATTTAATAAAATTGATTATACTAACGGCACTAAAAATAATTAAATGGGATAATTGATTCATAAATTAAGCCTTTGAAAAACTAACAATATTGAAAAAATACTATAATATTGTACAAATATATTTTAATAAACTATGGTAGAATGTAATTCTTTATTGATAGTTTATCTAAATTTTTTCTGTAAAGAGTATAGTTAATCATTGAATTACGGTATGACATGTAAAAGTAATGATATTTTATATTTAATTTAATTGCAATAAATTTTAATAGTACTAGTATAGCATTAACTAATAGTAAGATATTTGGAAAATTTTTGTTCATTAAACTCTATCATTAATTAATGTTTGTATACATTATACTCTATACAATACGGCATACAGTATAATATTTGTAGTTTTTCTTAGCATTTTATCAATTATTTTAAAATTAAATATTATTTTATCTAATTGTTCATGATATATTGCATTAAGTCGTTTATGAATTATATAAGTTTCAATACAACCATATACAGTACAGATGCCATTTTAAACATATCAAACCATTCATATCAGTGTTTCCAATTCAGCCCTCATTCTTACTTAACTGCAATGGCTTTGTAGACAATTTGTAATTTATTTATTTTGTAGTTATATTTTGTTCCGAAATACTATATGATTCATAATTATTTTGGAGAATCACTATTGAAATAACTGTTAATTTATTAGTTAGTGAATTTCTAATACAAATCCTAGTCATCATCAATGTTAATTTATTGAAAGTTGCATTGCTAGATACATGATAGTTTCAATATCATAGACTGGTTGGCCCTAACGGACTAATTTTCATATTAATTCACAGAAAGTTTATAAGAAATTGATGTTAATTTAATAAAATTGTTATTGTTTTATAATTACATAATATAAATTAATAGTGACATAATCTTAATTATTTTTTAAAAATTATATTATAAAATATATTTATATTTAAGAATTTTTTATTTCAATTCACTGCTAAATGTTCAACAGATTTAGAGATATTTTTTGCAATTGTGAATTAATGAGAATAAAAGTATACAGTAAGTAATGTAGTTATAAATTAAATTTACATGTATTTATCCTTATAAATAACTTATTTCTTATACATCCTAAATCTTATTGTTCTTATGTTAACAGATATACAGTATTTAAATTAATTAATTGTGATGCCAAGTAGTCCATAATAGTAAAAACTTATAATTATATGTAAATAACAAATCTTGGTCGGAAATACAATATTATATGAGATTATGGTGTTTTTAGTAAATAGTTTCATAAATATGGTCCAAACTTTTATCTTTATCTCGATTTTATTGTTCAAATGAAAAGAAAATAAGTGAATGAAAAATATGAGCAATAAGTGCGTGAATGAGGTTCGGATTGATCCGGTTTTCATGTACCAGAGATTGATAATAACAAGCGATTGATTCAGTGATCAGAAGTGAAAAATATGTAATTATCTCTACATTTGCGTTCAGTTTTAAGCAAATATCATACGATAATGACTGCAATACTGAATATCACTGTTTCTGAGTGTTTCCAATTCAGCCCTCATTCTTACTTAACTGCAATACACTCTGCGTTTAATACACATTCAGTTTCAGTGATAAACAGTTATCTCTCGCTTAAGTCAATTGCTTCCATAAAATAACACAGAATATGACGAAAACCTTGAATTGTTTTTACAAATAAAGGATGTCTTCACACATTATTTTACTCCAAAAGCTGTGAATATCTCTAGAAATGCTGTTTTCGGAACTCCTTATCAGCGGTTAATTATAGGAAAAAAATTTCCCAAATGAAGATAATTGAACCCAAAGTCTTGTTCTCCAGAAGTGATGATGACTTCAAAAACCATTTTCCCTTCGCGTCGATTGGTTATTGAATATGTATTTCATTATCTCTCTGATATCGCATCAATTTCTGATGGTTGAGAGCCAAAGAGGCGGTATTCACACCACATCTCTAATGTTGTATAAATTGAGATGATTTTTCCATTAGGAGTTCAATTAATTTGTATTCAACAAGTTTGTAAAAGTTACCAATTTTTTACCATTACATTGTTATACTGTTAACAAAGTCTAAGTCTCCGTCATCATGAGACTAGAGCCTCAAACTCTCTCTTCTTTGTCCACAGATGAAGAGCTCGACTTAAAACCCGTTGCCTCCGGCATATCGGTCGCCACCGCTTCGAGTAGTGGCTTACGTGCGGGTCATTCAAAGACGATCCCCGGTAACCTCGTCTTAAATGGTGGTCACAATCAGAAAAATGGCGGTTCATGCCCGGCCTCCCCGGGTGGTCAATACCTACGCCACGGACCCGTTAAATTGCCCGTTAAAGTCACTAATATTACGACCGCTCATCAAGTCTCTGACACTTTATATCAGTCTTCAAAGGTATTGTTTGTTTTAATTATTTAATTTTTTGTCATTTTTACAAAAATATAAACTAATTGAATGTATATTATTAGGCGATATCGTGTAGCAATCACGCCTGTATGGGCTCTATTATGTCTCAACCCATGCCCTCTAATACTTCGAGAAATAAAGAGGATATACTGGACCAGGCCGTCGAGTTCTTGGAACAGTACTTCATCCACCTCAAAAAGTAATTATAATACTTTCATAATTTTATTATATAAAGGGTCATTCACAAAGTCCGTACGCAAAAAAAACTTTAAAAAATAAACCCTTCCCAACACGTATCTACTTTTTGAATGATGTCTAATTTTAAATAATCTAGATCATGAGTACTTTTAATATATAATTATATATACACACACATACATAAAAGTACAGTATTACTTATCTTATCAAATGATATAAAAACTTTAAACTGTATAAACAAAACTTATTATTAAAATGACACATTTGATTGACTCTTACTCTATTGTCCCCGAAGACCAAGTTCATCGGAATTGGCGCAAAGGTTGGCCGAAATAGCGACAGAGATAGAGCGCACCGGCACTTACCACATGAGTACTGAAGAACTGCATTTCGGCGCAAAGACTGCGTGGCGTAATGCAGCAAGGTGCATTGGACGCATTCAGTGGAACAAACTGGAGCTACAGGATGCCAGACATGTCCGCACCACTCAAGAGATGTTTGCCGCTCTCTGTCAACACATCTCTTTCGCTACAAATGAAGGAAATTTGAAGTAAAATTTTTTTAATAGTAAAGTAAAGTCTCGAAATATCTAATGAAAACTTGTGTTCAGATCATTCATAACTGTATTTCCACAACGAATTCCCGGGAGAGATGACTACAGGGTGTGGAACAGTCAGCTCATCAGTTATGCCGGTATTTATTGCTATTATTATTGAGATTATCATTGAATACTAAATCATATCGTTTTATATACACCAAAGGCTATCAACAAGCGGATGGGTCTGTGATCGGAGATCCCGGGCGAGTGGAGTTCACACGAGTAAGTAATCAGTGATTTATATTTGCATTATTACTAGGTTTTCAATTTTATCGCTATTTTCACAGATGTGTCAGCGACTCGGATGGAAAGGCAAAAATGGAAGGTTCGATGTGTTGCCGATCGTTGTCTCAGCCCCGGAAGAAGGGGTCAAATACTACGAGATTCCGGACGATATCATACTGCGAGTGAAGTTACATCACCCGCACTATCAGTGGTTTGAAGGGCTGGGGCTCGAGTGGTACGCTTTGCCCGCCGTCGCGGAAATGATGTAATTTATATAATTTACTATAAATTATGGATAGTTTTAAACTAATTGTCAGTTTAGGTGCCAAATACAGTATTCATACATTCATTTAAAAATCTATTTCCATAATTTAATATCTAATTTGGATCTCAAATATGTGTCTAAAATGACTGAATTATAGTTATCTGGATAGTGACCGCCAAAACTCTGCTATTCATTCATAATCTCAGTATTCATTTCATTCATATTCATAATTATTAGGTTTGATTGCGGAGGTCTTCAGTTCACTGGATGTCCGTTCAATGGCTGGTATATGGGAACAGAGATCGGGGCCCGAGATTTCTGTGACCCCCAGCGCTATAACATAACAGAGGTTTGAAATATGAAGATTTTAATTTAAAGTTTTACTAAATGCTATTTAATTGAATTCAGAAAATCGCAAAAATGATGGAATTAGACGTCTCTAACGCCTCGACTCTATGGAAGGATAAGGCAATGCTTGAGATGAATGTTGCCGTCCTTTATAGCTATCAAAAGGCAGGGGTGACTATCGTCGACCACCACTCGGCTTCCGAGTCCTTCATTAAACACATGCAAACAGAGTACAAACAAAGAGGTGGATGTCCTGCAGATTGGGTATGGATTGTGCCGCCAATTAGTGGTAGTCTTACGCCTGTCTTCCACCAAGAAATGCTTAATTACAATCTGAGACCGAGCTTTGAATATCAGGTAATTTATTGATAATTTAATTTATTTGGAAAACTTTATTAACATTTAAACTTTTTATTTATAGGATAAGGCGTGGAGGACTCATAAATGGATGACATCTTCAATAAAACTAAAATACAGCTTAACTTCTGTAGCGAAGTAATACATAAGAATAATATTCATTTCTAAGAATTTAAATAATTAATTAATTTTATATTAATAAAAGGGCGGCCCTTTGGACAGTTAGGTTGATGAGTGGAATTCTATCCAAAAGAATCAGAGCTACGATTCTTTACGCCACAGAAACGGGAAAATCTGAGAGTTTTGCTCAAAAATTGGGAAAACTGATGAAAATGTCATTTTCCGTGCAAATAGTTTGTATGGAAAACTATAACTTTGAAAATCTGTTCAATGAATCTCTGGTACTGTTTGTTGTGAGCACTTTTGGCAATGGAGAGGCACCTGATAATGGAAAGGTATTTCACCAGGATATAAAATATTCTTTATTATAATACTAAAACTATAAAATAATTTAGGAATTCTGGAGAAATGTGAGCAAGGCTAATCAAATCCAACAAAACAATGCCATGAAAGAAGTGAAATACGGTGTGTTTGCATTGGGGTCCACACAATACCCGTCATTCTGTGCTTTCGGCAAAAAGATCGATAAATTGCTTCAGAGTTGCGGCGCTACACAAGTGCTGCCCATAGGACTGGGCGATGATCTTCGGGGTCAGGAGCAGACATTCAACACATGGGGTCACGAGTGCTACACCTCTTCGTGCGAGAAGTTCGACATCAATGTTAATAACGAGATATCGATCACCAGTTTCGATGAGAAAGCATACGATCACCAAAAGGTGAGAGTGACTGAAGTGTTCGCGGAGACCAGTGAACACCAAATACATAATGAATTGGCGAGACTTCATCGCAAGAAAATCATTTCGTGTAAAATTATAACACGAGTTAGGCTTCAGTCCAAACAGTCTGAGCGACAGACAAATCTGGTCCGACTCTCACCTTCTAATCACGTGTCAAAGAATCTCTTCAATTACGAACCGGGAGACCATTTGGCTGTATTCCCATCCAATCCTAAAGAGACAGTCAACGCACTGTTGGGTCACCTGACCAGAAGTGGCTATAGTGACCCGGACTCTCCCATCCAATTGCAGCGACTGATCGATGGCAAATGGGAGGCCGACTCACGACTACCCACCTGTTCGTTAAGAGTTGCGTTCACAAGATATCTCGATATCAGTTCCCCTCCCAGTCAACGATTCCTCAATTACTTGACAGATATGGCTAATGATAATTGGGATTCGTTTAGAATCGGAAAATTGGCCAAGGTATTTCATAGCTATTTATTTATAATTTACAATTAAGATATACTAAAATTGCATGTCTTATAGGATATCGACGACTACGAGAAATGGATTCTCTATAACAGCCCTAATATGGCTGATGTACTCAATGAGTTCCCGTCCGTTCACGTGGACCCAGAATTCCTGTTATCGGAATTACCTTTAGTACAGCCCCGGTATTACTCCATAAGTAGCTCACAGAAAGTGACACCAGACGAAGTACACCTCACTATGGATTTGGTTTCCTATCATATCCACGGTCTGTATTCGTAATATTCTTGTGCTAAACAATTGTAATTAATATTGAAATCCATGTGCAGATGGAATGGGACCAAAACGGTTGGGCATTTGCAGCAGTTTTATCGACAGCTTCCCGGAGACAGACATTCCCTGTTACTTAAGAAGCGCACCGGCGTTCAGATTACCCGATAATAAGAAACTACCGGTTATTATGATAGGCGCCGGCAGTGGTATCGCCCCCTTCAGAAGCTTTTGGCTCCAAAGACAGGCAGACCTACAAAATGGAGAGGATTGCGGCAAACTATTCCTGTTCTTCGGGTGCCGTAGCTCTCAATACGACAACATCTATGGCTCAGACTTAACACAACTGACGAGGAAGGGTGTGCTCCACGAGCTCTTCTATGCCTTCTCTCAAGAAAAGGGACAGAAAAAGGTATTTCACTGAAGAATATTCCTCATATATATTATTTGCATATAATATTCTCAATGTTATTCAATAAGAAATGTTCATTAAAATCAAAACTAACACTAGTTTTGTTATAATTATGCTTAACTAGCGCTACATTCAGGACCAGGTATTCAAACAGAGAGCACTGCTGTATTGGCTGATCGCCAACGAAAGGGCGCACATCTATGTGTGCGGACACTCACTGATGGCCGACGGCGTCAAGAAGTCATTCAATAAAGTGTTTGAAAGTGAGGGCAAAATGAATGAGAGCTCAGCGCAAGAATTCTTGGCTCAACTCATCGATGAGGGCCGATATCATGAGGACGTGTTCGGCCTTTTGCACCGATGAGTGCACTTAATGTCAACTCTTTTTTTTAAATCTATTTCTCTATTTATATGATTCTTATGATTTTGTTTTATAGTACTCTATCGCATGAAACTAGTTCAATGTGATTTTTAAACAAAATATAATATTTTTTGAAATTTGAAAAGTTTTGTAATTCATTTAATCTCAGTACTCGAGTATAAGATCTAATAAATATCATTAAATCATCACTAAGTCTAAAGAGTTATTTTGTATATTTAATCAAAAAATAATACTTTTGTATTTGTAATGATATGACGCGAGGTTTTAACATTTTTATACTATATTACAATAACCTTCAAACGTAGACTTTTTATTGAATATACTAAAGAGTTATTTTGTATATTTAATCAAAAAATAATACTTTTGTATTTGTAATGATATGACGCGAGGTTTTAACATTTTTATACTATATTACAATAACCTTCAAACGTAGACTTTTTATTGAATATTATTAATGAATAATTAATTATATTTTTCTATCAATAATGAATCCTAAAAACCTAAATACTGTATTATTACTTAAAAGTTCATATTAGTTTAAAAATAAATTTTATCGCAAATTGTTTTATTATTTTTTAGCTGAGAGATAAATAATCTAATTTTTAGTGCAATACTATTCTGATAATGCATTGCATTTCACCCATACAGTATACAAAATTATGTAATTTGTTCCACTTATTACCATATATATTACTGTATACTTAAAAACAACAGTAGCAATGTCTATACGGTATTCATTTGTATACTACAAAATTATATAAACATTTTGATTAAATCAATACTTTTTAAAAACACATTCATAAGTGTGAATATAGATAGTTGTGAATATAATACTAACCTAATGTACAGTATATTAATAATGATTTTTCATATAAGATTCTTAACTATAATGACTGCGAGTCAATGAATCACTGAATCATTAAGTCAGTGCTATACTGTACTGTACTATAGATTATAACATATTAATTAGTCGCAAATGAAACGTACTCTCAAGTGTTGATTCACCGCTACTGTAATCATAATCATTACAAATAGTAATTGAAATGCATTTATAATGCTATTAATTGATAAATATTAAAACACGAACTAAAAGTAATTACCGTACATTAAATATATGATACAATATATTTAAAAGCTTAAAAGCACACCATAAATTTTTCTTTTTACTTAAATCTCAAATAAGTAGTTAATTTTACTCCCTATGTAAACTATTGTTCTCAAAACTTTACTACCCGGTTTTCTTTTTCTAAAACGTTTATACTACTAGTGTTGCACAATCACTAATCCATTGTTCAGTTGTGTCCGCATTTATGCCTCCGATCGCCGAATATATAAAATTAGTTTCTCTTTATAAAAGGGGTTTTAAAATGTATTGAACGGAGAATTTTATTAAAAGTACTCAATTAGTGTATATATAAACTGTTGCCGATTTCTTATGAAACAATTTTTCTGTAGTGAACACTAAACTTATATAAACGTATCGTTTGTTATGTTTGTGTTATTATATAATGTTATAAGGACTGCACTATTAAGTGACATATAATTGAAAATTGAAAATACAGTTCCCGTTGAAAATACTCAATAATGACAGCGTGTTTGTTGTAGTAATTGTCGGATCAAAACTCATAATAATAGTAAATACACTTAAATTTTAATAATCGTATTAAACAAACAGACTTTTAATCCGAGGGCCGCTAGAGCCTTTTGAAAAATCACTTCAGGAGGCGCAAAAATTGTTTGAAAAAGGATAGGAAACTTATAAGAAGCCGATTTAGGCAAGCATTGCCCACAAGCCCGAGGCCCAGCAACTGATCTCGATGGTCTGCTTGGATCACTGCAATCAACACAATCAATACAATGACATTAGTGAGAGCGCCGACACCACGAGCATCGACACCACGAGCATCGACACCACGAGCATCGACACCAGCTCGTGGTGAGCACGCGATATTATGTTTGGGACCAGTCAGAACCACCGCCCGAAGGTCAAGAGCCGGACTTACTACCCTTCCGTATGGACAGGGAAGAGCAGCTACAAGCCCACCATATAGAAGCAGCGGAACGTAATCTTCGCGCCAAACTTGCCTATGAGTCGCCCTTTCAACTAGAGTTAGGACTTCCGCGGGAATAACATCCCTTACGACAGGACACCCTGTGTTGTCTGTTACAATCGTTATGCACTCCCGTGTCCCTCCGGCACGAGGGCACAGGGAGGCCGTGTCAGGCACCGACCGGAACAATCAGTCCAATCCATGTGAGCATATTCTGCTCGTCCACTTGGATGTCACGAAACGATCGCAGACCCGCTTTGCGGATGTCCTGCAGCTCCTGTCATACCATACAAACACACGAATCCATTATCACGTAACCACTCATGAGCGAGTGAGCCATCATTGGAGCTGATGGTCAGCCTCAGTATCTATCATACCTTCTGTAGTCTTCGAGTGGCAGCCATTTCGGGGATAATTAGTCGCCAATGGGTTTACGATACAAACGGCAATCAAATCAATGGATTCAGTGTTCAATACAATGACTAATAATAAACACAATAATGAATACAAATTCAGTAATCGTTGGTTGAGTTCACAGCAAACGCTTGAAAAATAATTGCAGTCTTTTTGCAGTCAATTACGAAACTTCCAGATCTCACACACATTCAGACGTTCATATAAAACGTGACGCTCTCTACGCCTCCGCCCCCACACCCACTCATTCCCACTCCCCCTCTCACTGAATGCCATATATTCTGGTAATTACTTGTATTTTTCAATTATTTTCAGAGTTGGCTTAAACTAATGTTTATGTTTAGCATTGGTGGCCGGTTTCTGAATATTAAGTCTAAAGTGATCCAGTCCTTTTATTGAACGTTGAGCGTTGACTATCGTAATTATGATGAATTAGTGCAATAACCCCTCCCTTTCACACTTTGATGACACCGATTAGGTGTGGACACACGTCATGCAATACGTACTTGTCACACATACTGATATCTTTTCAATTACACTTATTTTCGGTTGGTAACTTAGTTACCTGTGTTGTCACCTGGTGTTTTTGTGTGTTGAAATGAAAAGTGTCTGAATTTGACTAAAAAATGACTAAATGTTAGGCAATTGATAGCCAATGGATATAAAGGTGTGAGAATTGAATGAGTGTTTGATGTGAATGCGAGACAAACGCGTCCACAGATGGCATCACATGAAAGCCAATGAACTGAAGGCTGAGCTGCGCTACGATTGGCTGAGCGCTGAGCCAATGGTACGTCCGATGAGTTGTTTCACAAACACTTGAAAACTGTATGCATTTGACAACTGATTGTCATTGTCTTCATCGGATTCATTGGATTCATTGATACCGCGGATTAATTGGCGCTTTAATTATGTCAGTAATGGTTGGCCCCCAACGACACGCCGTCACTGGTCTGGTGACCACCACTCAGGAGGTGTCGGGCGAAGTGAGCGCACGGCAGACACCGCTCACTGAAGACAATTGCGTGGATTTGGGGTATTATTTGCATCGAAACAAATTGGGCGAAGGTTTGCATCCATTATCTCCTGTGTGTGCCATACCTGTGCTCACATATGCCTCTCGCACCCAATGACAGGTGGTTTCGGGACAGTCCGGTTGGCCACACACCTCAAGACTGGCCATAAGGTGGCCGTCAAGATAATGAACAAAAACAAGTTGGGAGTGAGTTCTTAGTGTGGTATTGGTTTGTCATGTCGTGTGTGGCTCTAAATGTGTTGATTGTGTCCCAAAAGGCCGACTTATGTCGAGTGCGAGTTGAGATCAATTCGCTGAAAGTCTTGAAACACGAAAACATCGCAAAACTGTTACAAGTCATCGAAACTCAGAATGAAATTTATCTCATTCTTGAGGTATTTAATGGTCGATTGGATCCATTGCAGTGATGGTATAGTAAATACTGTGTATATCTATTGTAGTACTGCTGCGGAGGAGAACTCTTTGATTATTTGGTGTCAAAGTCGAGACTCACGGAAAGGGAGACCAAAGTAATAATGAAGGATTTGGTGACCGCTTTGGCGTATATCCACAGCAATGGCTTCGCTCACAGAGATCTTAAACCCGAGAATATTCTCTTTGACGCCAAACACAGAATCAAATTAATCGACTTCGGACTCGCGGCCAACGGACGGGTAGTTATCAGTGATGTGCACACGAGAGTGCAATACTCACGAGTATGTCATCCCTAATGACAGGACAACAACAACTCTTTGGCCCATTTGTCGACGTGTTGTGGGAGTCCGGCCTACGCGGCACCGGAACTACTTCAAGGGCCCAACTACTCGGGACAGGGGGTTGACGTGTGGAGCGCTGGTGTACTGCTGTTCGCACTTCTTGTGGGACGCCTTCCCTTCGATGACGACAACATCGCCGCTCTCTATAAGAAGATTCAGCATAACAAACGTTACGTTACGTTTTACTGAAGTTTATTGGTAATTAACTATATTTCTCGCCTAACATAGCTTACGGACTAACCGACAGTCGGCTGCGGTTTCTAGACTAGGCTAGCTACGAATTCTAAAATCCAAGCGAACGCATCACTATCGAGAAGATCTTAACCCATCGATGGCTAAGGGATGAGATGATCGGTTCAAACACTTGCGTTCAAGTGATGAAAGCAAATCTGGACGAAGAAGTCTTCTTCCAGTGTCACCGACTCTTCCCAGAGGTTCCGCTCAAAGAGTTGCGACAAAATATTTTGCATGGATTTGGATACCAAACGGCCTGTTATTGGCTGCTGAAGATGAACGCCAACACCGTTCAGGTATTCATCACTTAATGCTATGAAATAGATTTGCTTTCATTTCCCATATATTTGATTGCAATGAACAGCCGCTGCCCTTAAATGTGGTTAATTCGCCGCTGACTCTCAATAAGCCAACTGTCCAAAGACGACGGTCCAGGAGTGTAGACGACACCATCAATAATGAAAATAGTATTACTTTTGGAGTTAACATATTGTGTCGTATTTGTCATAATTTATGATTTGATCCCTATTTGCAGACATTCGGCCCAAACTGAAGCGTAAATTCATAGATACCGTGAACTCTCCGATGCCTAACCTTCCCAAGCGTCTGATGCTGGACGTGAAGACCTCATCGCCCGGCAAGTCTCCCAACACTAGAGTCCCGGTTTTGGTCTCGCATTCACCGAAACTCACGCCAAACGCAAAGGACGAGCGAAAGCTAAAGGAAATCAAATCCCCCGTCAATTCGCCAGTGATTGCCAACAAAAAGGCGCGACTCTTCCATGGCTTGAATGACAGCTTCAAGAGTCCGCTACTGAATCCCAATGCGAGCAACGAATGGACAAAAACGCCATTCAATGCCAAAATTGAATGCACGCCCAAGAAGTCACTGTTGAAGCGCTTCCTGGAGACGGCCACACCCGCCAAGAGTCAGACGCCCAGAGCTATCACCACATCGACGACAATGAAGAACATAACTCTCACCAAATTCACGGAACCCAACAAATGCATCGATAAACTCATTGAGACGTTGACTGCGAAAGGCATTCAATGCAAACAAAAAGAGTGAGTCATAGACTGATTGCGATTGAGACCAATTGTGGTCACAATTTATTCATTTACTAAAACCCATCCATACTTTAGTTTCTCTTTGCGGTGCGTATTGTCGACCAATAATGTGATTGTGTTGTCGTTTAATCTGGAAATCTGTAAGTTTGACAATCAGTGTGTCATTCAACGCAAACGACTCAAAGGCGACGCTTGGAATTACAAGAAGGTCTGCGAAGAGATCCTTAGGATCAGCAATGAGTGAACTATTGGTGATAATCAATGGTCCACTCAATGAGTTCCTGAATCTGTATTTATGAGCAATTAGTTCGCATTCATATTAACTGTATTTATCCCATAAAAAAGTATTCATCGCATAAAGGTATGAGAATTACGATATTTTTAATACAAAATGCATGGCATTTGACATTCATTTCAAATCAATTGATTTGTCGATAACTCTTATAATTCACGTTCTTATGAGTATTTATTAAACTCAGCCATTATTTTGTAAATAATTGCAAAAAATAAAATCAAAACATTTTACTCATTATTCAAAACAAGTGGTGTTTCAGTGGATATTCCAGACCTCTTCGAAAGCCGAACATATTTTAGTGGAGGCGAGGGCTGCCGACAGCGGGTATTCACTTATGGATACCGTTTCCTCGATGTAATCGCATTCAACCTGAAAACCATGTAATCATTAGCTGAGTATTCATGTGTGCCTTCAGAGTGCCTACCATTCCGTGAGCCATAGCACCGATGACTATAGCGAGGGGCGCGTCATCGGAGGGCACGAGCTCTCGCGGGTGAACCAGTTTCTGGGCCTTAAAGCTGGTGCCGATCTTCTTGCAGCCGACCGGAAGGTGCGATGAAATGGGGTTTTTGATGACTTTAAGCAACTTTTGCGGTCCGTTTGCCGACCGTATACTCAGTTTATGTAATAATTGGACTGAAAATGAAATAATGGTTAGCATTCATAGTACACAGTATTACATGTGTTGTGAAAGCAGTGATCATTACCCATAAGATTAGCGAAACGTTTCTTTCAGGCGCCCTTAGCACAAACTCCCAACTAGAGTTACTCCTGTAACGCCAGCCACACCTCTATGTGGACGTCCTCTGGGCGAGACAACTCCCCCGACAGCTTGTCGTAATTGTCTGTGACGTTAACAAACACACATTAGTTGTGGTGACAGTCATGCACTCATTGCCACCAAATCAAGACCTGATGAGTGATGTCTGGGCGACAGAAAGCCGGGTCCTTCTTGTATTTGCGGATCTGACCCATGTGTTGATCGCAGTTCAAGAGCTCGAAGTCGTTGTGTGTCTTAACGATCTCGAGGTTGCATTTCTCTAAGATAATGATCAGTCGTTTCGAGTCATTTTTGGAGCTCTTGAACAGCTTCGGCCTCAAGAGCTGGTCTTTGGGAACCGCTGTGGCCGTCAGTGAGTCGGGAATGTCGTGGTCTTCCTGTGCGTCCGCCTCCTCGTCGTCCGAATGTCTCCTCTTTCCACTCATGTCTTCACTGATCTCTAGACTGATTATTCACCGAAATGGTCATCAAATGGCAATCAATTCATTGATCGCAAGAAAACTCGTCTTTTGAAAGCATTTTCTTTGAATCAGATGTTTGTGAAGGCTATCCATAAATGCTGTCATTTTGTCGCCAATTTGTGTGACTTTTTAAATTTAAATCATTTAAATGTCCCGTAAATGGCATTCAATTCAATTGAATACTATTAATACAATCAATTGAAACGATTTACTAAATGAAAAGTGTGTCACAAAACAGTTATAAAACATGAAATACTCGCAAAACTTTAAATAGTTATGGTTTGCGTGAAAAGACGACTTTAGTTACGTTCAGAACGTTTCATACTGCATTAGGACTCTGGTTACAAAACTTACGTTTATTTGCGTTGTTTTCGGTTTGTTTTCTAATTTAGTAAAAAAACTTCTGAAAATAGCGTTAAGACGCGAAATATATACAACTCATGAGTGCACTGAATGTCCAAATGTGTGATAACTCGTAGGCTTTGGTATCAAAAGTCAAGTTTGATTTCAGTTTCCAATGGATTTGGAGATTTTGACAAAAAAAGTGATGATTTGGTTGACTAACTGATAGGTGAAGACATTGAGTCCATTGAGTGGTTCAGTGAAGACATCCAATCATAAACTCAATTCATTGCATAACTCTTATTATCATATCTTTGATAAAAAGAAAAGTTTTTTCAAATAAAAACTTTGAAACCAAAGTTTTCAAGTCTTTTCTGGTGATTGTCTGCCAACAATGGCACGACTGATGGCTATGTTTCGAGTGATAAATCGTGAGTATAGTTGTCTTAATATGTGTTGAGATATGTGTCTAAAGTATGGTCTGAACGATAGGATCATCGCAGAAGACGGCGACCCATACGTGGAAGCGATTGCAATACAATCGCGTGAAGAGATTTGTGGGCAGTTTGCAATGGTTTCATATCCCGATATCACTGGTCCTCACATTCATTGCTTTCCAACAGTTCCGCAGAATTAAGAGACGCGAAGAAAATAAAAGATATGATAAACCTATTTATACGGCATCTGATCTCGAGGTTTGATTTGGCAGTGTTTCTGTGTGTTAGCAGTCATTCACCACATAATCAATTGATTTGCGAATAGATATCAATGTATAAAAACGAAGGAGACTCCTGTCACAGGGCCTAGACCCCAACCTAATTGAGGTATCTCGACGGCCACTATTACTCCTCAGGATAGGACGCCAGCATACACGCCCGCAAACCGACGTTAGACCTACTCCGTCTCGTGGATGACTTAAGACAATACAAGAATTTGGGCGAATTCTTCAGGCGTTCACTCAAACCAGGCCTCAGACCTATTGACACATCCAATGGAATCGTGAGTTCTTATCGTTTGTCTCTCTTCTGTGTGCCCTTTGTTTTAGTGTAAACTTCAAGAGTACTCATGTCTTAGGAATCATTCATTAGTTGTAATATAAATCATACGATATTTAATCAAATCTAATGCCTATTCTTATCAGTCGAATGCTTGCACTTTATTATCGCTCATAAGTTTGTAGTTTTAGGTAAAGAATATCCGGAATTGTTTACATATTTTTAGTTTAATTCTTAAATAATTCTATATTTTTCCAAATTTAAGACTAAAGTGTTATGAAATTCATACAAAGGTTAGAATTTAAACCTTAATTAATAATGCTGTGAAATAAACCACAAGTGAGTACAATATCTTATCAAAAGTGGTATGACTTTCAGGCTAACAATACTTGAGACTTAAGTTAAGAGTTATAAATAAATTACAAATAATTACAAATAATTTATTTATATCCCTAATCTGTCACTCAATTACTATCGGATAAAAAAATATTTACTGTAAATATACTCGAAATCTTTCATATTTTGCATTAGTTTTAACTTTTTTGTTGTTTTGGGATTTGTTTTAATCAGATTTAGTTTTGAATTAGAAGTTCAAAGTTTTTTCAAATCTAAGCTTTTTTTAATGAAAGCCTTGAGAATATAAAGTAATGGTATTTAATACGTGACTCAACTTACAGGTGAGTCCGTCCGACGGAACCATTTTATACTTCGGGAAAGCAAATGAAGGCACTGTAGAGCAGGTGAAAGGCATCACATACTCGTTGTCGTCGTTTTTAGGGCCACAGACTTGGCGTTCAAACAAAAGCAATGACAACGACCACCAAAACTACCAGAAATCTCTTCTAATCAATAATGGGAAACAACCGACAGATCTGTACCACTGTGTCGTATACTTAGCGCCGGGAGATTACCACCGATTCCACTCACCCGTGGAGTGGAAAATCAGTTTTCGGCGACACTTTCCCGGAAAGCTGTTGAGCGTTAGGCCGACGTTTGTCTCGTGGTTTCCAAACCTATTCAACGTTAACGAAAGGGTCAGTTATGTCGGCCAATGGAAACACGGCTTCTTTTCGATGACAGCCGTCGGCGCCACTAATGTTGGATCCGTTAAAGTCTACTTCGATGGCGTAATTCACTTCAATTCATACTATACTCTATTCATTGTGTTTGTAATCAATGTATGTATCGTAGGATTTGGCCACTAATAAGGGAAGGATAGGTCGCGACTACAATGACCTCAAACTGAACCAATCGATAGCTTTAAGAAAAGGCGATCCCTTCGGAGAATTCAATTTGGGCTCAACTATTGTCCTCATATTCGAGGCGCCGAAGGACATGGAGTTTGAGATCAAAAGTGGACAACAGATCAAATACGGACAACTCATCAGTCGTTTCGAGAAACACATAAACGCATCAAAAAGAGCTTACAATTAGACGGAGACTTAACCGCAGTTTTATATATTTAGCCAAATGTTTGCCTTAATTATAGTCAAAATCCAGTGAATTCTATGAATTGAAAACTTATATTAAATTTGTGCACAAAATGTGTAACAATTTTATAGTATTGTATCTAAACTTATTTAGAGTTTATTATTAATATTTTTCGTTTCTATAATTAAAATATTTATTTCTCAGCCACAAAATGAACACAAAACTCCATATTTTAGTTATAAAATAAACTTTAAAATCATTGAATCCATGGGTCGAGTGTTGTGTTTGTCATGAAACCTATGAATGAAAAGTTAAATTAAATTCAATTCGGATCAACACTTGACGGACAGGTGTTTAAGACATTTGTCGAAATGATTTCAAATTATCGGTGGACTACTAAAACATCCAAACACTTAAAAGTTAGTGATTATAAGTATAATAATAACTTATTACTAATAAGTATTTTATACATAAATGAAATAAGAAAACAAATAATTAGTTTAAAAAGTTTATTGAATTTAGATTTGAAGTGAAAAGTAAAGAATTTTGAGTGAAATATGAATTGAAAGCAAATTCTGTGCCAAATTTGTGTCACGTATTCGTCAGTTAATGACAGAGAAGTGGTCTTCAGAGTGAATGTCTGAATAGTGTAGACATCGGGCGCTGGCATTGACTGCAAACACGAGCCAACCATCGGATCCGTCGATGTGTCCAAGTGTTGACTCCATTTCCCCTCATATTAGCTGATTATGTGTGCACTGAGTCCTCGTCGCCGTACAATACGCTACGATATCTCTTCATATCTGCAAGACTTTGGCTAAAATTGCTTTGAATTGTCTGAAGTTGTGATGCACTCATCGGAACACACGTTACCTCGTCTTTAGTCTCGTCTTCAGGGTGTGGTCTGAAGATAATGAGACAATCGTTGCCTTCCTCTGCGTCCGTCTTCGCCCAGACCCCCATCTCGACCCGGCGGTTGTCTATCGCTAAGAGTCGATCCATTCGTACCACTCTTTCGGAGAATACTTGGAGACGGGATCTAATTATGAGTTCCCAGAAGTCGACGAGATTTTGTTTAGTTGTTGCCCTCAACTCAGCAATGAGTCGATCAACGGATTCGCTAAACGATTCCCATTTGGATTCGGGAGGCATTTGTCGACGAATGGGTTTATGTGTTGTGAACCACTGGTCAGTGATTAAAGACGACAGCGAACACCGATCTGAAGGGTTGGCCGCTAAGAGACGTCTCAGCAGTTGATTGACGACTGTTTGGTCGACAGACCGACGGAAGCGCTCGGGAAATGGCTTTTCGTAGATATCCTCCAACTCTTCGGTCAATAATTGTCTCCTCGTTTCGATCGACTCTTTGTTCTCCGAGTCTTTGAAAGCAGGAAACGGCGGCTGAAGATAGAGACACGAGTAGAGTATGAGTCCTACGGCCCATACGTCACACTTCTCGGTGTCGACCACTACTGGGTTGTCGTACAGAGTGTCGGGTGAACTGTAATCAGGCGTTCCGTACCTCTCATACCCTT